CTGTTGACATTTTTAAAAACATGTTATCTGAATACAAGTATTCTCCAGATAATCCTAAAGTAGATACCTGTACAAAACATTATGCTGCTATAAGCGTTATGCCCCAAATAGCCATAAAATTAACGTTATACTGTTGTCCTAATGTTACATAATGCAGCTTTGAAGGTCTTCAGTGAATAACAAACAACCCGTCCTAAGTTACCAGGGTCTTAGTACGTAATATAATTGTCTGAGACCTGCTGCTGATGAATATCCATATTGTGCACTCTTTTCATGACCCTGTTTTAGTTATAACTGGCCTTACAAAACATTTAAGACATACTGTGACTTGAAAAGATCGAAACGATGACATAGTCAATCTGAAGTTTCTCATTCCGGCAAAATTTATCCCAGGCGTAACCAAATAGATTTGAATCTATCATTACCCAACACCCTGTTACCCTCAATAGAACTACCTAATCTCCAATAAGCAGAATGTTGTTAAACATTTCGTGAGGGTCGTCGGGATTCTCTCACAGCTACCATTGCTGACAGTCCGAAAACACCCCCAAAATCTAACCTGCCATTGTCTGCCTATGTGTAAAAGACAGTGAAACTGTATACACAATAAATATTGCAATTTCAGGGCAGCAAAACCAAAATATTCAGGATGGGGAAATATATCTGATATCAAAATTTACTGTCATGTCTTATATATAGCATATTTTCGTCATCATTTCATACTTGCCCAGAAACAAGCTACGTTTCACCGAGGTATCAATTTTTGTACCACCAATAACTAGCTAGAACCAGCCTTCGACACGAAAGAAGCACCTGTTTTCCATCAGTGACATCGCATGTTTGCCTTACAGATATCAGTATTGGGATCGGGCCCCCTTGGAAAACAGCTAGAGTCTAATGTAAGCTGAATGGGGCTACCCAGTCGACTTATGATGAAATAAATAAATAAATAAATCTTATTAAATCTAATTATTTGTCTTACGACATTGAAAAATAACCAAAAAATTGACTCTCAAAATCAAATCCAGTTTTACTGCCCTGAAATCGCTTTAAATGTGTCTTTAAATCTTCCATCACTCTCAGACACTCACGCTCTCAGGAACATACCTTTTAAGAGGGTCAGACTCAGGATAGCTTCAGGAGGCACTTTCTCACTTGACAGG